TCCCTCTCTCCCCCATCCCCTCTCCCCCATCCCCTCTGGCTACTGCTTCCAGTTTTAGCTGAACTCCTTCCTGCCTCTGTCATTTCCCAGGAACGCACTCTCTCTGCCTCTCACTCATCCACTGGCTATGAGGACAGGTCTCTGCCACCCATCCTTTCCCTCCTCCCCATGGAACCTATTTTCATTCTTTCTTACAAAACTGATTTACGCAATTATGAAGACCATGTATGTTCCAATCACAGCAGAACTGAAGAGGTAACTTGGCAACGTATCTTTTCTCACGTGGAACATGCTGAAGTTTTAATACCTTTGTCACATCGGCTCTCTATGCACCCATCACTTCTTCCTGACCTACCCTGGTGGCTCTGTTGTGCCTAACACAACATCCGCATAATGAAAGGCGGCATCTTGCAGGCTAAGTCCCCTCCCACTACTGAGCTCCCTCCTGGAGCTGCACCAGTCCTCAGTCTTGGCATCTGACACCTCCCTTGACCAGGAGGCTGTGTCGAGCCCCAACCTTCCTGGGAGGTTTTCTGCCTTCATTTTACCCCGTTTTTGGCAGAGCACGGTCTCCCATGGCCAGCTGAGGACAGAGTAGAGGTAAATTCGTATCCTTGTCTATCTCAAGGTCTCACATGTGACAGGAAATTTGGCTGGGCAAAGAATTCTAACCAAAACCCCTTTCCTCTCAGTTATGAAAAGGCTGAGAAGCTAACCCTCTCTCACTTCTTCTTACTACTAATTATTTGTATCTGTTCATTTTCCCATTCGCTGAAGCATTTATTCCTCTGGTATTTTTTTATTATTTTTAGTTTACATGTATGAATGTATTGCCTACATTTGTATAAGGGCACCCATGTCATGCAATGCCCATGGACGACAGAAGAGGGCGTCAGATTCCCCTAGAACTGGAGTTATAGACAGTGGTTAGGCACCATATGTGCTGGGAATGGAACTGAGTTCTCTGCAAGAGCAGCCAGTGATTTTCTGCTGAGCCGTCTCTTCAGCCCCTCCTCTGGTGTTTTGAAACCTCATCACGTTGAGACTTGGTAGCACCCTTCCTACTGACTGGGCATGTGCTAGACCAACCCTCCAGCTGGAAGCACGTGCCCTTTGATTCAGGAACTGACGAGCTCTTCTTCCATCAGAGTCTTCCCTCCTCTTTAAAACTTTTTCTTGGCTGCCTGGCTCCCTAACTCATTGGTCTAACCTCTCATGTCACCCACCTCTCGTAGGTCAGCGTTCTGAGACAGTCTGAACTCTACCTTCCAATTGCTTGGCAGGAACACTCCCTCGGTTCTCCTCTAAGTGCCTACTGTTCTGCCTTTAATCTCAGGATGACCCTCGCTGGGCCGTCCTGCCCCTCACGTGACCTGCAGACAGGGGCTCTGCTCTCTGCTGTCAGTTTCCTTCCTTCCGGCACCTTTCCTCCTCCATATGCTGTCTTTCATGTTAGTGCTTCCTTCCAAGACCAGATGCCCCACCAAACCCCAGCCTCTGAGGAGCTACGTGCTGACTGAGAGGCCCTCAAGCTGACACTGCTGACTGAACATTTACACCCAACTGTACAATTTCCTGAAGTCCCATCACCTATAATAAAAATGCTTTCAAATACAAATCACAGGAAGGAAAAGAAGAGAAAAAAGGAAGTACCACAGGGTCTGAACCTGGAGCCCAACAGGCCAGAGCTGACTGACACTCGATACCAGGAAGCTAACCTCAAACTGCCCATGCCTCATAGCCGCAGAACCTTCGGGGGCCAAAAGACTCACAGCAACAACAGCCTCTGAGACCAGAGGGAGCGGCAAGCAGCAGCAGACGGCCGGCCTGAGGCAGCCAGGGCAGAAGCTGCTGGAGAGGCACCATGCGCCTGAGGTCCTTCCAGCTCTACACTCCCAGATGATCACTCTGTTGTCATCAGGAATCTGAGCTGTTCTTTGGAAGGGGCACTCTCTCAAGGAAAGTAAAGCTAGGCCAGAACAAAGCCCAGACAGCAGAGGTGGGAGTACACCCTAGGCAAGGCCTAAATGCCAAAACCACCAGCACTGTTACCTGCCTCTTCCCTAGGGGCAGCCAGATCCTCACCAGTCCAGAGAGCACAAGAATGTCCTAAAAAAATCTGACCAGCTCAAGAAGAAAACACTGGTATCGATACCTCCCCCGGATGCTGGATCCACACACACAAACGCTCTGATTAAAAAGTTCCTCCTCATAAGCAGATACAGGCAAATTACCAAGTCCTTCCAAAAAGTCTGTCTTAAAAAAGGACAAATCAAAACGGATCATCCTGGGAAAACAGAACAACACCGTCAGCTCTCAAAGAACTGTACCCGAAGCAGAAGGGGACAAGTGACAGAAGAACAGCCTTCCAGGAGCCAGAGCACGCTGCGCGAGCGGAGACCCCAAACCGACAGCTCATGGAAAAGCTGACAGCCAAAGGCAAAGAAGTCTACAGGAAGTGGGACAAAAGGACAGAAAGAGAACAGGTTTTGATGTCAGTTTGAGAAGTTCTGGAAGAAAGCTAGGCACAAAATATTAAAGAACTCTCTAGAACTTGAAAGAGCTTCTAGGATGAACAGTGAGAAGGTACATCACAAGGAAATTTCAGAGTACCGTGCCAACAGACAGAGCCTGCAGCTCCCGCAGAGGAAAATGCAACAGCAAAACCATCAACAAGACGGCGATGTACTCTGCCTCCGACCCCAGCATCTATACCCAGCCAAACTACTGCACCCTTTCTCAAAATGCTAGAGGACAGAGTGCAATGAAAACCAGAGCCCACCACGTTTACCAAAAACAAGCTGAGTGAAGCAGCAGGCACCTGTTAAGCCCAGTGTTGAGGAGAGTCTGGTGGTTCCCTGGGCTTGCTGACCAGTTGGTCTAGCCAGTGCTGAGGTCCAGAGCCAGTTAAAGACCCTGCCTCAAAAAAATAAGGTGGGGGGGGCGGGGTCTGGAGAGATGGCTCAGCAGTTAAGAGCACTGGCTGCTCTTGCAGAGGAACCAGGTTCAATTCCCAGCACCCACATATGGTGGCTAGCAACCTTCCCTAACTCCAGTTCCAGGGGATCCAATTCCCTCTTCTGAACTCCCGAGGGCAATGCATGACATGGGTGCACTCACATACATGAAGGTGAGACACTCATACACATAAAAGAAAACTAAACAAATAAAATAAGGTGGAGAAGTGACTGAGGAAAATACTCAAGTGTTGACCCAGTCTGGCCTCCATGCACACTGTGTGTGTACCTCCTGCCCCCAAACCAGAGTAAACCAAAGACAGAAGATACAGGAAACAGGAGATGCTGCCCAGGAAAGAGGCCAAGCAAAGTCTCAGGAGAGCAGACTGACAGCTGGATCCCAGCCTACAACCGGTTCAGCTCAGAACAGACCTGCCAAGAGATAAACAGGCTGCAGGGCACCCCCCTCAAGGCTCCTGCTGCCACCACTTCTAGCCAAGGGAGAGTCGGGTGACCTGACCTAGAACACTCGTCTCCACTACATGCTGGGGAAGCGCCCACCCTCCCAGATCAACCTCATCTTACCCCACAGGATTCTGCACAGACCTATTCCTGAGAGCTGATGGCAGGCAGCACAGCTCATCTAGAAAGCTGCCCCACGAGAAACCGCAGCAGGCCGACAGGGAACGCCTCTCGCTTTCCGGCCTTACCTGTAACCTCATGTAATGACCTCACTAAAGGCCCTCTCAAAGGTGAGGCCAGGTCAGACCAGAGCAGATGTGGCCCCTGCTCTCACCCTCCACAAACCTGTGTCCAGCAGCAACAGACCGCCCCTCTGAGCTATGCCTGGCTTCCGAACAACACGACGTCTGTGACAATGGTAGAGACAACTCAGAGGATCAGCACCAAGCAGAACAGCCGCTGAGGTGGGCAGGAGTCTCGGCAGAGCAAACATACTGGAACTGCCCTACCTGAAGCTGGAGGCCAGCTGCACATCTGTGTGTTACTGCAAGTTGCTTCAAGCTGACTGACTTCAAGGTGCACAGAGAAGCAGTGGCAGAGAGGTGTGACTCTGGCAGGGGACTAAGCTGCAAGCCAGTCTCATCAACAGGAAACCCAGAGGCCGATACCTGGGGCCTAGGTTCCCCAGAACAGGCTCCCTCTCCTGGCTGGGAAGCACAGCACTGGCTGTCAGTCAGGGAAGGGCGGGGAAGCAGCGGTGCTCCTCACAACTCAGCCACCCGACTTCCCTACTCCCTCCTTCCAGTCCTGCTGCAGCTCTCCCCGCACAAGCCTGGTCCCCAACCTGAGACTCCTGGGCACATTCAGGTCTCCTCAGGGCACACCTGGGAACTCCTGCAGGCCCACAGAGGGTGCCAGGCTATGGCAGTGTAGGTATAAACGGGGACTCGAGGAGGCCCCCGACTCCAAACCTGGCCTTTCTGTCTCTCCTTGTTTTCAGCACCATTCACCTCCTGGCCACTCACACGACAAAAAGCCAGCCTGCCCGGGCCTCTGGGGACAGGCCTCTGCTGCGGTCACCTCGGCTCCGCTCAGCGAGTCACTGGCTCCCTGGGAGGGTTAGTACGCTCTGACACATTCCAAGTCTCAGCCCACTTTGTAAGTGCAGCATTTATGTTCCTGGTATTCGTGGGTCGCAGCTTCAATCCCTTAAGCGATTTCAAGATTCTAGCTTGGTTTCTGTACCTTCGAGGGTCCAGTTCATGGTCCTTGGATCCAGTCACTAATTCCGGATGAATTCGCACATGCTCCATCATTGGCTGGAAGAGTTTGGGTTGACAAATTATAGATATGAAGTTTTGTGGCACATCCACATGAGGGAACATTATTTAATAATAAAGGAATAAAGCACTGATACGTGTTACAACACAGATGAACCCTGAGAGTTGTTCAGTGAGAAGCTAGTCACAAAACACAGGAAAAGCACCAAAGTGCAACTCTGTCCACAAATCGGCAAGATTAGTGGCTGCCTAGGTACAAAGTGGGGAGCTTAAAAGATTTCCTCCCAAAATTCCGTCTGCCCGTTTAACACCGAAGCTATGATGTAACCTGTCTGAATGCAGCTCTGAGGGTCATGAGGGTCAGACAGACGGGAGTCTCACCTTGACCACTTCTTCAAAGGTCTCCACATTTTCCTTCATGCCATAGTGAGAGCGCAGGAAGGAGACGAAGTTGCAGGGGTACATCCCGTAAAGGCGATGGAAGAGGGCGTAGACGCTGGCATGGAGGTGGACAAGGTAGACCTCTGTCACGTGGCCTGAGGAAGGAAACCAGTGACAGGGAATCGGCTGTACAGAGGTAGAAGGGCACAGACACACGTAACCGACAGCCTCTGTTCACGTGTGCCCCGCTGCGCTTCAGAGATGTAAGACATGCAAATCTGCACACAGCAGACGCCTAGTTTAAATCCAGGACTGGCTCCTCTGGCCTCTGAGTACACCCACTCAGCTTCATGTGATCTAGGGCTCTTGCTGGTCTATCTCTGCCCCTCTCTACTCTCTCTCCTACTACCTCCCAAGAAAGACTCCACACCTCAATGCTGAGCTGCCTCCACAAGCATAGCCACTCTCCCCACAATCTGAAGTGACACCTCTCCCCTCTCTATCCCAGTGCCAAGCACAGTGCTTGGAAAGTAATAAACATTCAATTGTTTATAGAATGAACATGTGAGAGATTCAAAATCAAAATATGGTCTTAGCTATGCAGACTAATAACTAAAGAGGGAAAAATAAAACCATGCAGAAGTTTAGTTTAAATTGTCCTAAGAAAGAGAAACCACCATCTAGCTGCCCCGAGACCCTGGAGAAACTCCAGCTGCCCCTCAGAGGGGACAATCCCTTTCTCCAGAAGTCGCTACTAACAGCAGTCCAGGCCTATGCTTGTTGGCCTGAAAGCCACAGTTTCCCACCCACAGATGGTACACATCTCATCCTTCCACTATGAATATTTCATGCTAGGATTAGCAAAAGATAGCGAATTTCACAGGCATAAAGCATCTCAATCACTTTGATAAATCTTGCTGCTTGCTGATACAGGAAAAGATCCCAGTGCATTTGACACTCCTGCGCTACTCAGGACATGCTGGACTCTCCTTCCTCCTTCTCTGGGAGAAGACGAAGGCGGTCAGGTGAAGCTGTAGCACAGTAGGACACCAACGCTGTGAGCTTAGTCACAACAGCACTCACAGGTGGAGGCTACGTTTCTGTTTTACTACTGAATCAGGAAGTTGTACTCAGTTTCTCTCATAATCCTTTCAGACCAACAGAATAAGGGTGGTATCTTCCCAGCCACGCTCTTACATGTGCCTGCAGTAGAAGTGAGCAAACAGCTCCTCCACCTAGTGAGCAGCTCATTTCACCATAAGGCCACACACATCCTCCCTACAGCACGCAACTGCTGTCCAGTAGGGACCTGCCAGGGACACTGGGACCTGTACCTGGTTTCTTCAGACACCATGACGACAGACGGCCAAAGATGTCAAAGAAATCAAGAAGGTGCTGCTTCCCCGACTGCGGGATCATGGGTAGCATGGTGATCAACACCAAGACACCCGTAGTGAGGACGACGACATCCGTGTCCATCTGCAGAAGGAAGTGCGAGCAGGACGTCAGGCTTAGACCGCAGTGTGTGATGAGGTCCCGGGTCCTGAGACCACAGTCTCCAAGTTCCTCTAGCGCGCACTTCCCCACGTCCCAGGTCCACTGACATAGACTCAGCGTACAGCTGTGTGCCACTGTGACACGCGTGGGTGGACCAGTTCCCAGGCTCTCACCTCTTCATCTAAGAGCTGAGTGTAACTTGGCTTGAGACTCCCAAGTCCTGAAACCTCAGGCCCCCTCCTCACAGCACCCGGGTGAAGGCATAAGAAGCAGATTTACACAGCACACAGCAGCACTGTGCTGTTTTTACCCATTCAACCAAGTCTGAGACATTATTTTCTGTTACATCATTTTTAAAAAAAGGCGCTACAAGTAGTTCAGGGGTTTTTTTCTGGTTGGAATCAAACCCAGGGTCTTATGCATGCTAAACAATAGCTCTACCACCAAGCCACATCTCTAACCTAGCTATTGCTTTGTGAAGGACTACTATGAGCTGAGCATGGTGGCTCACATATTTGGGAGACTCAGGCAGGAGGACTCTGGCAAGTTCAAGGCCAGCTTGAGCTACACAGTGAGTTCCAGATCAACCAGGACTACCAACAAGACCCTGCCTCAAAGAACAAACCAAACCAAAGAGAGGTGGGGGCAGGCACAGAGAGGGTGGGCTTAAAGAGACAGCTCAGCGATTAAGAGCATTTGCTGCTCTTGCCAAGGACCTGGGTTCAGTTCCTAGCACCCACATGGTGACTGACAACTGCCTGTAACTCAAGTTATGGGCAGATCTGAAACACCAGAGGATCTGATGCCCTCTTCTGGCCTCCATGGGCACTGAACACACCTGATGCACATACATACATGCATGTATGCACTAACACACACCCATAAAAATAAAATAAATAGGGGCTGGAGAGATGGCTCAGCGGTTAAGAACACTGGTTATTCTTGCAGAAGACCCAGGTTCAAATCCCAGCACCACACGGCAGCTAACAACTGTCCATAAATCCCAGCACCACATGGCAGCTAACAACTGTCCATAACTCCAGTCCCAGGGGATCCGACAGCCTCTTCTGACCTCTGCAAGCACAACATGGGTGCACCTACCTACATGCAGGCAATACATGCATACACATAAAATAAATTAATTAAATTAGTTTTTTTTGGTCTTTTTGAGACAGGGTCTCCTTGTAGACCCAGTTGTCCTGGAACTCACTATGTAGACCAGGCTGGCCTCAAACTCACAAAGATCCACCTGCCTCTGCCTCCCAAGTGCTGGGATTAAAGGCGTGCGCCACCGCACCTGGCTTTTTTTTTTTTTTTTGGCCTTTTTAAGACGGTATGGGCGACTGCGCTCTCTCTGGGCGCAGGGTGCGCTCACTCCCTGCGGGTCCGCAGACTGCTCTGGGGAGCGGGCGGCTCCAGGAGTGGCACGGCAGATCCGCCGACTTCTCTGGGAAGCTGCGGCTCCAGGAGCGGCAGGCGCCCTGCAGGCTTTACCGGCGGCTCGGCCCGTGTCTCTGGTGCTGGCAACAGCTGGTGGCTGTCGCAACTTCTCTGGTGCTGGGAGCTTGCTCTGCTACTGGAGCATTGTCCAGCCGGAATCCCGTCTCTATTTCACCCATGTACCCTTCCTCAGGATGTGAGGCTCCTGGCCACTGAGCCACGCAGGGAAGGAGTACGGAGATGGCGAAAGCTGTTGTCCGTGGGTCAGTAATGGAAGGTGCTGCCCTCCGGGGGAATCAGGTCGCCGGTACACAAGACTCAAGGCTCGGCTTAGTCTGTGCTTACAGCTTTATTCTCTCTGGGACCCAATCTCTGGGACCCAGTCTCTGACCCAAAATCCCAATATTAAGAGAAGGCTAAGATATTTTATACCATGGGGGTAGTGGTAAAAGCTTTGGCTGTTAGATGCTTTGTGAGGCATTCTATTTACATGTGGAAGTGGATTTCTGCCAGACAGTTGTCTGCTAGGAAAATTACAGGAAGGCATGGTACCTTTCAGAGCCAAAGGCCATGTTTATGTTATAGCATTCGTGGCGGACACTTCAAAAGGAGAGACAGGGAAGATGCTAGGAAGACACTCCGCTATGAAAGGAGCCCGCAGCACATTAATCCCGAGCTGCATGAGCTGTCCGGTGTGAAGGGGCTTACAACTTTGCATAACAGAGATCTCCCAACAACAGGGTCTCCTTATAGTCCCAGTTGGCCTCGAACTCACAAAGATCCACCTGCCTCTGTTTCCAAAGTGCTGGGATCAAAGGCATGTACCATCATGCCGGGGGAAAATAAATAAATCTTAATACAAAAACCAGGGCTGGTGAGCGAAAGCACTTGCTGCCAAGCCTGACAGTCAGAGTTCAATCCCTGGGACCACGTGGTGGAAAGAGAGAGCATTGACACTTGAGAAACAGCATCACAGTCATTTCTTTCAATCTTACAAACATCCTACCTTGAGACACTTCAGTAAGGAAGGCAGAAGAGGTGCTTGAGAGAGCTTATGCTTCCAGGACGGCTGCAGTCTCACAACATGTCCCAGCAGCGAGAGGATGGACAAACGGGTGGCAGCTTTGCCCACGTACTCATTAATCTTGTCCAAGAGGTGCTGAACATGTGAAAGAGCAAGGGGAATTTCCGAGTGAGGTGTGAGGTGAGCACAGGCAATGCTGACAAGCTCCAGCCTCTTCAGTCTTCACTGACAAGATCCATGAAGACTGAAAAAGTCCAATCCAAAATTTTCAAAACCACATAAGCAAGCCAAGCCTTGCCTCGATGGCCTGACAGAGACCGGCCAGTTGCAATCTGTGAAAAAGGGACTGCGAGGCTGCAAAGAGGAACCAGACATTGTCACAGCTTCTCTTTCTCAAGGTAACTCTAGGCTGCAAACCCACAACAGGCTGACTATCAGGGGTCCTACATGAAGCCCCACACAGCTGGAATGGCCTAGCATATGAGCTCTGGTCCAAAATCTAAACAGAGCAGTGGTGCGTGCTGCAGTCTTGCTGGAGTACCAAAGATGAGCAGGATCTACCACCAGAAGCACACCATGCTCATGAAAGCACTCTCTCCCATACACAAACTCCAGGCTCACCTAGGCTACAGGAACAATGCTTTGTTATCACAAACAAAAAGAAAACACAGAGGCCTCCAAGTGCCTGGTGCTGGACTTGCTCACTAGCCACATGAGCTAGTGGACATTCTCCTAGCAAGATGTTTACAAATCTTACTCAAAGCATGGGCTTAAAGATGGTTCTTTATGGGTTAAATTATCACCATTCAACTACAATACTGGAGTTACAAGATTTCTCTAAAGAACAGGATCTGTAAAGAGCCTCTGAAAGATTTTACTATGTAAACTTTTCAGGTCCAAAACCAATTATTTCATATGTGCTGAAGACTCTGGAAACACCACCACAGAAGTCAAATAAGCTGTGGACAGACTGCAGTGGTTCTTCACAGTGCTCAGAGAACATATTGCTCTGCCCTGGTGTCTCGGCAGTTACCTTATCATGAGGCTCTTGCAAAGTAGTCAGGATGTGCAATACCGGCTGAGAACTGGTTTCCAGGTAATAATCCACCAAGGTGTTCACAAGCATAGGACCACGTTCTAAATACAGAAAAGGGCAACGCATCAGATTTACTTCCTTTTACCTCGACAGCAGTGATGTAAAAGCCAGAAAACGCTCTTTATGTGCCACCCAAGGTTTCATTTATCGTCGTTTCTGTCTCCGTAATTCATTAGGTGTAGCAAGGTCACTCCACGCTTACCTGCCTATCTGTAGCATATGAAATGCTATCACTTTGTTTGTTTTGGTTTTGTAAGACAGGGTCTCCCTGTAGCTCCAACTGGCCTGGAACTCACTTTGTAGACCAGGCTGGCCTTGAACTCAGAGATCCAAATGCCTCTGCCTCCCAAGTGCTGGAATTAAAGATATGCACCATCACATACGGTCTTCATTTATTATTTTTTAAATTATAAAATATGGCTAGAGACATGGCTAGTGGGTAAGAGTCTTGTTACAAAGCATGAGGACTTGGGTTCAAATCCCCAGAAGCCACATAAAAAGCGAGCCATGGTCATGCATGCCTGTAGCCCCAACACTGATGGGACAGAGACAGGTCGACTGCTGGGTCTTGCTAGCTGCCAGCCTAGCTCAGATTGAGAGAGACCCTGTCTCAAGGAAGTAAGGCAGAAGAGAGTGATAGGCTGAGCCACCTGGCGTCCTCCTCTGGCCTCTGGGATGCCCATGCACATATGAATAAATACACCACACACACACACACACACACACACACACACACACACGGGAAAATATCCATATTTAATGTTACAAACAAAAGACTCTAATGAATATGGAAAGTGGGGTCTGGAGAGATGGCTCAGCAGTTAAGAGAGGACCCGAGTTTGGTTCCCCACGTGGTGGGAACAACAATCCTTAACCGTTCAGGGGATCCAATGCCCTCTCCTGGTCTCCATGGGCACTGTACACATGGTGTGTTTACTATATGCATACAAAACACATAAAATAATAATTTTTTTAGAAAGTAAAAGTCCTCCTGACACTCTTCCCATCCACCCTTCTGAGATGAACACTATCCTCTCGGGAATTTTTCTACCTGTAAAACAAAGTAGTATTTTACAGCAAACCCGCTGTCCACAGTGACCTGGGAGTCTGTTTACTGTTCTCCCATTTAACCATGAGTTACAAACAGTTCGATGACAGCACCTATGACGTGCAATATTCTTCTGACTGACTCCCGGTACTCTACCGAACAGTTAGTTAGACCTACTGAACTTAACCATTTACTTATTAAAGGACACTGGGGTTTCCAATTTTTCCTCTATTTCATTCAAGGCTATGAGCTTCACTTGTAAATGGGCTGAATAGCAGGTTCTGTAAACTGGAAGACAGTGCTGCACAAACGCTGAAGACTAAATTATAAGCCTGCCAGAAGTGCCCTTCTCAGATCAACGTTTGATTTTTGTCAGCCTGGTAAGCAAAAAGGAGCTTGCTCAAATCTGCAACCTGTTGGGCTAAAGAGAAGCTGACAATGTTTCATGTAAAACACATGGTGGTCCGAGTGAGGAACGGCCTCCACAGGCTCCACACAGATGAGTGCTTGGCCCCAGGTGGTGGCACCATTTGAGAGGTCTAGGTGTGGCCTCACTGGAGGAAGCACGTCACTGAGGCAGGCTTTGAGATTAAACAACCTTGCCCACTTTGATTCTCTCTGCTTCCTGCACCTGCTTGAAGATGTGAGCGCTCAGCTTTCTCTTCCGCTGCCTCCCGCCAGGCCTCCCCACCACTACGGACGCTACGCCCTCTGGAACCGTAAGCCCAATAAACTCTTCCTTCTACAAGTTGCCTTGGTCATGGTGTTATCACAGTAAAGAAAAGTAACTCATACGAGGATTTACTGATAAATTTTACTCTAAAATACATGAGGTAGGGCAGAGTCAGAGAAGTAAGATAGATTAAAGAGAGAGTGCCAGTGGGATGGCTCAGTGGGTAAATGTGCTTACTGCAAAGCCTGATGACTTGAGTTCGATCCCCCAAACCCACATGGTGGAAGGAGAGAATCACATCCCAAAAGCTGCCCCCCCAACACACACATAAAAAATGAGGTGCTAAGAGAACAGTAGAAGGCTGAAGGAGGCTCCTGGGGTCACTGGGAGACCCTCACATCTGAATGTGTCTGAGCACAGCTGTAACTAAGGTTTGAAGAACTGGGTGTGTTATTCCACCAATGGATACTCTCACATCCAGCCATTTTAAACACTTGTTTTTAAAGTAAAACCTGATGTGGTGGTGCATGCCTGTAGGTCTCACCACTTGGAAGGCTTTGGAATGCTGAGGCAGGAAGATCATGAGTTCCAGGGTAGTTTGGAATACCTACTAAAACAAGGTCTGGGGGTTGGGGGGAGAAATTCTCCCCTAGAGATGAAAACGAGGATCTTCCAGCTGGGTTTCACTCGGCTCTGGGTCAGTCTTTTCTTGCGGGTATATAAACTAAAAAAAGGGTATTCCCTGCTCACCAGAATTGAGGTTCTCTTTAAAGACGGCTGTCACATCATCACGCACGCCCAGCGTGGGAGAGTCCAACATGGACAGCAGCTCCCCGACGTTGGTTGGCTGGGCCATTCTCTCTCAACTGTGCTGTGCTGGCTCCAGGACGTGTTCTAACGGCTTGAACCGCTCTTCATTAGGACAGCTACCATACTGCAAACAGGGAAGATGGACAGCATGAGAAAGGACTCCACCCACCAAAACTTCGGGTGAAACTAGCCAGCACATCTGCTTGGTGCAGAGGAAGTTTGGGCAGAACTGTGCTGATAAACAAAGACAGAGAACGGTTCTTTCACTGAAAACCTATCAAGCATGTGAAGCTCTGTGCAATGCCACAAAAGGCACCCGAGACCCCCTACAGGTCACCACGGAAGGCACCAGAGACCCCTACAGGTCACCACGGAAGGCACCAGAGACCCCCTGCAGGTCACCACGGAAGGCACCCAAGACCCCTACAGGTCCCCATGGCAACCCCACAGCAGCTTTGTTCTCCTCCTGATGGGTCTTCCTTGGGTGCTAACACAAGTTGTTTTTATAAACACAACTACATACGTACTAGTTCCCCCATGGCACTCCTATTAATGCCTAAGGTCAGAAGAGCTGGTGAGGCTGCACGTCCAAGACCTGGTGTGACCAGGTACGGCTTCTGATTCTAGTGCAATCCTTTGTCACAGACATCGATGTGTCCCCAAAAGTTGTTGGCTGCAGACAAGCAGTCAGAGTAGGACCATCAGGGCATGTCTACCAAGCTCAGCCCTTATGGTGAGTGGTGCAGTTGCCTTATCTTGATGTTGTATATGGAAAGAAGCTTATTCCCAAGTGACATCTGTGACATCTTTCAAGTATACTTTATGTGTATGAGTGTACTGCCTGCATGTAAGTGCACCCGTGCCATGCAATGACTACAGAGGACAGAAGGCGGCATCGGATCCCCTGGAACTGAACTTATGGATGGTTGTTAACCAGGATGTGGGTGCTAGGATTCAAACCCAGGTCTTCTGCAAGAACAGCCAATGCTCTTAACTGCTGAGTCTTCTGCAAGAACAGCCAATGCTCTTAACTGCTGAGCCATTTCTCCAGTCTCTTTAAGACTGTACTTTAAAAACAAGGACTAGCCAGTATTTATAAGAGCATACAAGGCATCTTTTTCAAACACCATCACACACACTCCATATACTACCACACAATGGGCACACGTGTCTACATTACAGAGGGAAACAAAGTCAAACCCTTTGCATTTGGTCACAGTTAGCAAGAGGCAAAACCAGGGAAGACCAACAAATCTGAACCCTGATCTTCCCTACTCCGAAGCCCCAAACCTGTAAATGTGACATCAGGGTAAACGTGATTCTCATGTATTGGCTTGATTTTTCCAATGGGAACAGGGGTGCCCAAAAATGATAAACAAGTGTGTTCCCATCATTTGTCTTCGTGCTGCAGCTCCTGGGCTTTATTTACTGTACCAAAACCACCTGGACTGCTTGACCCAGGCACCTGCATTTTAATAACACCCCATGACAATCTTGGTTTTTGTTTCTTTTTTTTTTCCTTTTGTGAGATAAGGTCTTGCTACAATGTCTAGGCTAGTCTTGGAAATCCTGGGGGAGTCTTTCTCCCCCTGCCCCCACCACAGCTATGTAGCTCTACCTGGCCTAGAACCTGCTATACAGACCAGGCTTGGCCTCGAACTCATTTGAGATTCGCCTGCCTCTGCTCAGAGTGCTGGAACTAAAGGGGTGTGCCACCACACTCAGTTTTCCAGGTGAGTCTTAGACAAGTGATAAGTCTGCTTGAGAAATACAATGTTTAGAAAAATTCAACTGTAGCCAGGCCCTTGGAAATGAGACAAGAGGGCTGCCAGGAACTCAAGGCCAGTCTGTGTTCAAGTGTGAGACCTTGTAGCAAAAAGTAGTCAAGTTCAGCTGGGTGTGGTGGCGCACGCCTTTAATCCCAGCACTTGGGAGGCAGAGGCAGGCGGATCTCTGTGAGTTCAAGGCCAGCCTGGTCTACATAGTGAGTTCCAGGACAGCTGGGGCTACAGGGAGACCCTGTCTCAAAAAGACCAAAAAAAAAGAAGGAGTCAAGTTTTAGCCTCCCTCTGGCCTCCCTCTGGCAGAGGGCCTGAGAATGCAGGGGACGGCTTACGAGTCCCCAAATCCTGCCTCCACGAGGTGGTGAGCTTCCCCTAATTGCGCCATACCCATCCCCCTACCTGGGATTTCTTGAGGCCCCTCTCAAGGCCCCAGGGCAGATCTGGCTTTGGTAGGCAAAGGCTGAGATCCTAGCAGACAGCCTGAGAGGGTGGGTTTCAACCTCCATTGGTATAGTGGCTCTGATCTCAGCAGACCACCAGAGAGTGCCAAGTTCTGGCCTCCCTCTGGTATAGGGGCTGAGAAAGAAGGGGGACTGCATGAAAGCGCCTGGATCCTGCCTCCACATGGTGAAGGAAGCTTGAATGTACTTGACTTGAACCTGAACTGGACTTCTGTGGGTCCTCCTGAATAGCTGATCTGAAGCCATCAGTTCCCTCCAAATTAAACCTGAGGAACCTGAACCCTGTACCAACCAGCTTTACATAACCAATAAGAAAAGGACTAAGGCACACCAATAAAACAAACAGAAGCACACTTCAACTTAATTCTCATATCAGAATCACAAACAACAAAAGAAATTCACATACCAAAATCACAACAGAAGAATAATAAAATGGAGAGCCAAAATGCTATGTCCCCACCAAACTCCACCAATCCTGCAGAAGAGTTCGACAAGGAGAACCCCCTAGGGATAACCCAGGACACTGACTTTAAAAGATCAATCATAAACAGACACCCAAAAGATCCAGACCATTATAAGGGAATATTTCAAAAACCTATACACCACTAAATCTGAAAGTCTAAAAGAAATGGATGGATATCTAACATCATGGGACCCACCAAAGTTAAACCAAAAAGAGATCAACAGTTTAAACAGACCCATAACATATAAGGAAATTGAAATAGTAATACAAAGCCTCCCAACTAAAAAAAGCCCAGGCCCAGATGGATTTACAGCAGAATTCTACCAGACATTTAAAGAAGACTTCCAACCAATACTACTTAAATTATTCGAAATGACAGAAACAGAGGGAGAATCCCCAAATTCCTTCTAAGAAGCCAGCATCGCTCTAATACTCAAACCAGGTAAAGACACAGCCAAAAAAGAAAACTATAGACCCACATCCTTAATGAACATAGATGCAAAAATACTCAACAAAATACTCGCAAACCGCATACACATATCAAAATGATCATTCACCACGATCAAGTATGTTTTATCCCAGAGATGCAGGGATGGTTCAATATATGCAAGTCAGTAAGTGCCATCAATCATATAAAGGGACTCAAAGACAAAAACCACACTGTCATCTCAATAGATGCAGAAAAGGCTTTTGACAAAATTCAACATGCATTTATGTTCAAAGTCCTAGAGGGAACTGGACTGGAGGGAACATACCTCAACATAATTAAAGCTATATATAACAAACCCACAGCCAACATCATTCTAAATGGAGAAAAACTGGAAGCATTTCCATTAAAATCAGGAACCAGACAAGGATGTCCACTGTCTCCACTCCTTTTCAACAGACTGCTTGAAACTTTTGCTAAAGCAGTAAGACAGGAGAAGGAAATTAAAGGACTACTAATTGGAAAAGAAGAGGTCAAATTATCCCTTTTTGAAGATGATATGACTATACCTAAGAGATCCCAAAAGTTCCACCAGAAAACTCCTGGAACTGATCAACACTTTCAGTATAGTGGCAGGTTATAAAATAAATCCAAAAAAATTAGTAGCCTTTCTATATACCAATAACAAGCTTTGGAGAAAGAATACAGGGAAATGCTCCCATTCACAATTGCTGCAAAAAAATAAATAAAATATCTTGGAATAAATCTGACCAAAGACACCAAAGATCTCTGCAATGAAAATTTTGAATCGTAAAGAAAGAGATTGAGGAAGACACCAGGAGATGGAAGGACCTCACATGCTCATGGATTGGAAGAATTAATATTGTGAAAATGACCATCCTACCAAAAGCAATATATAGATTCAATGCAATTCCAATCAAAATCCCCATGCATACTTCACAGAATTAGAAAAAAAATCCTTATCATCCTTAAATTCATATGGCAGCACAAAAGACCCCAGATAGCCAAAGCAACTCTGAGCACAAAGAGCAACGCTGGGGGGATTACTATACCAGATCCCAAAGTATACTACAGAGCCATAGTCATAAAAACAGCATAGTACTGGCACAAAAACAGACACATAGATCAATGGAACATCATTGAAGATCCAAACCTGAGTACATACAATTTCAGCCACTTGATATTTGACAAAGGTGCCAAGAACACAATGGAGGAAAGACAGCATCTTCAACAAATGGTGCTGGCAAAACTGGATCTCCACCTGTAGAAGAATGAAACTAGATCCTTATCTTTCACCTTGCAGAAAAGTCAACTCCAAATGGATCAAAGACCCCAATGTGAAACTGGAAACCCTGAAATTATTAGAAGAAAATATTGGCAGTAACTTACAAGATAGAGGTGTAGGAAAGGATTTTCTAAATCAGACAGAAGTTGCTCAGGAATTAAGGTCAGCAATGAACACATGGGACCTCATTAAACTAAAAAGCTTTGAGTACAGCAAAATAAACAATCAAAAAAATGAAGAGAAAACCCACAGAATGGGAAAAAAATCTTCACTGGTGATACATCTGACAGAGGTTTAACACTCAGAATATATAAAGAACTCAAAAAACAATCGAGAAACCAAATGACTCAATTAAAAGATGGGCTAAAGATCTAAACAGAGAGTTCTCAAAGGAAGAAATAAAGTTGGCTAAGAAACATCTCAAAAAGTGTAATTAGTAATTAGGGAAATGCAAATTAAAACCACCCTAAGGTTTCACCTTACCCCAATCAGACTGGCTAAGATCAAGAGAACAAATGATACCAAACGCTGGTGAGGATGTGGAGAAAGGGGAACGCTCATTCACTGCTGGTGGGATTGCAAACTCATGCAACCCCTATGGAAACCAGTGCAGAGAAATCTTAAAAACCTAAAATTGAACCTACTATATGATCTGGCTATACCACTCCTTGGCATATACCCAA